AGAGAGAGAGAGAGAGAGAGAGAGAGACCTGCAGCATGCAACATGTCAGTGGCGGGGCGCAAGAGGGCAGGCGCTGACCTCCAACAAAAAGAAGTAATTTTATCGGAATACAAGAGTTTTTCTTTTCGAAATCCGAATACAATAAAAGGGTACACGTTGTATTCGAATACAACATGTACATTTTTCAATTCGAGGAAAATGTGGTATTCGAGAAAAGTGCACCCGCACCATTTCAATTTCGAAAAAGGCTTCAGGATCGCGACCTCCTCAGCCTCCTCCGCGCAGCTACCGGTCCTATGCGGTCCTGGCCGTTGCAAGGCCCCAAAACCTCAAAATGCCCACCCTCCCGACGACCATGACGTTGAAATGACGTTGAACGTTGAAATGTCTCAGGGGGCGAAAACGCAACCCTGACGGGCTGCGAACACGTGGCTAATTTTTGTCGTTTGTGCATTTGGTGAGTGGGCGGCGAGGCCCGTGGCCTGTAGTGAGGTCTCTCACGACTCGTCAAATTTGCAAAATGAGAATGAATCTTTTCCTTAGAACATGGAAAGATACATCGCCATAATGTTTGTCTTTTGTGCATGTGGAAAGTACTCGAGCGAGGGTTCATCGTAATGTAGCTCGAACAGTCCCATACCACCATGGGCACGTGCCCCTCAGCAGTCGTGCTATGTTCACGCTTAGAAAGCATGAACATAGCATGAACATAGCATGAACATAGCACGGGCATAGTACATAACACCAACATAGCACGGACATAGCACTCGCATGGCACTAACACAGCATGAACATAGCACGGGCATAGTACGTAACACCAACATAGCACGAACATAGCACGTGCACGGCACTAACAGAGGACGAACACACCACGGACAAAGTGCGACAATAGCACGAATATCGCGAAGACATAGGACGGACATAGGACGAACATAGCACGGGCATAGCACTAACACAGCACAGGCATATAGCACGAACAGGGCGTCGCCACACTATTCCCGAACTGTGGAAAAAGACAAAAATGTGGCGGGCGCATCTGGCCATGTTCTAGGGGGAAGTTCATTCTCATTTTGCACATTTCGAGAGTGGTGTGGCGATGCCCTTCGTCGGTGCTAAGCTAGGTTTACCCGCCATGTTGATGGCCAGCGTGGCAACGTGAGTTGGCAACCGTCCTGGGAAAAGGCGGCAATGGGCCTCGCTCGACATGCACAAAAGACAGAAAATGGACCTCGAACCGCGACTCTCGAAAATGTGCAAAATAAGAGTGAATCTTCCGCTAGAACGTGGAAAGATACACAGCCATGATTTTTGTCGCTTGTGCAAGTCGAGAGTAGTGGAGCGAGGCCCAATATGGCGGTGGTGTCTGTTTCGAAGTTCTAGCGGAACACTCCACATGCATCTGGACGAGATATGGATCATGCGCATGGGGATAAGTCCAACACGTCGAATGCATACGGTTCGGAAGGCGTCTAAATGCATGTAGAGTGTTGTGAAGTGGAGCGAGGCCCTCAGTCTCATTGTGTGCACATTTGGACTGAAGCGAAGCTAAAAAATGACCGCTCGCGAAAAACGTGGTGGGCCGCTAATGTCCATTAGCCAGCACGGCGTCCGGCCAAGTTGCGCGCGCCCGCGCCCGCGCCCCGCGCTCGGCGGTCGGCGCTCCGCGATCCGGCGGTGGCAGAGAAAGCGGGGAATACAAAATGTAGATGTGCTCTCGTCATTCGTATCCAGCACGGCGATCCAGCGCGTCCATCTTGAACTGCATATTGTCGGTCGGACTTCTTACGAGTTCTTAGGTTCTCTAGCTTCGCTTCAGTTAGCACAGAAGTGGAAACGCCGCAGAGCGGGGGAGGACGTGGCCATCGAAAGGGAAAGAGAGGAGTGGTAAACGCCGGAGAGCGGGGTAGGTAATTTCAACGTTCTGCGATTTGGTACGTCTCTCTCTCTTGTCTGTCCCCCCTAAGGAAGGAGAGGAGAGAGAGTGGCAGTTAGCAGAAGTGTGTTATGGCAGCGATGGCTGTAGCTATGGCGGCGGCGGCGGCGACGGCGACGGCGACGTCCCCACTGCTGCAGTCTATGCAGACTTCATCTTGCCAGTCGTCCACGTCATCGTCTTCTGCGTCGTTATCCTCTTCGTCGCAGGCATTCAGAGGAGGACACGTGGCATGTGTGCGAGTAAAAGGAGGAGGAGGGAACAACTCGTTGTTCAGTCGGCGATCGCCAGGAAGGCGACACGTGGTGGTCCCGGCGTCGTCAGAGCAATTTGCTGACATGCAGGACGAGAAGCAAGAAGATTCCGCCGCCGCGCTGTCTGGTGTGGTTTTTGAGCCGTTCAGCGGCGACCTGCACACCAAGCTTCAGGCGGTCCCGGCGGCGCGCGACTCATCCTACGCGCGCCAAAGGTACAGCCCTGCCTGCGAGGCCGCCGTTAATGAGCAGATCAACGTCGAGTACAACGTCTCCTATATCTACCACGCCCTCTTTGCCTACTTCGATCGGGATAATGTAGGGTTGCCTGGCTTTGCGGCGTATTTCCGCCACGCCAGCGAGGAGGAGAGGATGCACGCGGAGGAGTTGATGAAGTACCAGAATCTTCGGGGAGGGAGGGTCAAGCTGCAGTCGCTGATGATGCCGCAGATCAACTTGAACGATCCAGAGAAAGGAGACGCCCTCTCGGCTATGGAATTGGCACTTTCGCTTGAGAAACTGAACAACGAGAAACTGCTTGCTCTTCACAAAACGGCCGCGGATGCGGGTGATGCACAGATGACTGATTTCGTCGAAGGCACTTTCCTAAACGAGCAGGTGGCGGCAATCAAAGACGTATCAGAACACGTGGCTCGCTTGCGTAGGGTTGGACCGGGCCATGGAGTCTATCACTACGATCTGGAGCTTCTGGAGAAATTCGCTGCTGCTCCCGTAGCTGCCTAAGTGGGAAGCGTCGACGCATTCATTGAATCTGGTCGTTTTATTCGTAACGTGCCTTCTTTCGCCTCCTCCTCCTCCTCGTCCTACGCCGCCGCCGCCGCAGATTCCATTGTCAATCCTCCGTCGTTAATCCGCGTCTTTCCTGTTTTGGTATATATCTCTTCGTTCTTTCCCTTTTCGTAAACGACCGCGTATGCACCCCAGTCTGCCCACGTCTGTGTTTGTCTTATTACTTGATGACGTTTCGTTTTACTCCCTAACCCTTAGATGCTCGTCTTCACCGTCGTTGGGCTTGCGTCTATCTTTCAGGTATAGATTTTGTCGGCGTTCGATCTTTCGACCTGTCGATGGAGATGTAGTTGTAGATGTTGCCTTGGCTGCCGCTCTCTCCGTGCACCGCAAGCAAGCGAAGGGGACTCAGCCGGATTTCCAGAATGCTGGCTGTTTGCCGTCGACGACGGCCGAGATGAATGAATGAACGGTTCAGTGCTCGTTCGTGAAGCGACGGGCAGGTCGCCTTATGTCCATTTTTAGATTAAGTGAAAGTAACTCCTTCATGTTTTGAAAACGTTTTCTTTCCTCTTTGCCAAGTGAAACAAACATTTCATGTTTTCTTTTCCTTTGATGTATTCGTGCTGTGTGCACTGAAAGAAACACGTTTTTGTTCAGTAATGCTCGGACCATCCGACCCCGCTGTATTTTGCATCTTCCTCTTCTCATCGCTCATCTATTAATCTACTGCTCTGTGTGTCTGTGTGTGTTTGTGTCTGAGTTTGTGTGTGTGTGTGTCTGAGTGTGTGTTTCAGACTTCCCCAGAGTAACCCCTTTTGCAACCAGACGCGCTCATCTATCAATCTACTCACATTCTCTCATGGAAGTTAACATATACGAGAGTGTCTGTCTGTGTTTGTCTGTCCGTCCGTCTGTCTTCATCTGGCTGTGTGTGTCTGTGTGTCTCTGTCTATCTGCATTTGCCTCTCTATCCTGCATGCATCAATGTTTTCTCTGTCCACGGCATCCTCTCCTTCTCCTGTCCTACTCTCTTTCTCCCTCCCATTCTCCCTCCCATTCTCCCTCTCTCTTTCTCCCTCTCTCGTTGTCCCCCCCTCTCTCTCTACCTCTCTATTTCTTTCTTTATCTCTCTCCCTTTCTCTTTTATGTTTCCGTCTCTGTCGCTGTCTATATGTGCAGGCATCCGTTCGCCTGCTTGCGTGCTTGCTTCCTCTCTCTCTCTCTCTCCACCATATCCTCTTCTCTCCTCGCTCTCTATCTCCCCCCTTTCAACCTTCTTCGGCAGTTAGTACCCTAAAGCCGACCATGCGGCAGGTTACCCGCAGTCAGTACCCTAGAACCGACCATGTGCTGGGTTTAGGTTCTTGAAGGGTTATGGGAAAGCTATTCAGATTTGTGGAAATGTGGCGGAATTTGTGGGAATTTTAAGACCTTGCGCAGAAAATAGTTTCTCCTGAGATGAGGGTCAGGTTCTATCGACATTGATTAATGCTATGAATAGCATGGAGTCGCTGTAGTCGTTAAGTGATTTACGTATTCTTAACTACCCTAGAATCGAGACCGGGGGAAAAAAGCAATCGAGCCCAGGCAGCGCAGACCTTGGAAACTAGGCTCGGTTAGCTGAAGCTCGAAATCCTCTGTCCCAGCGACCGGTCTTTCAAATCAAGATTTTTTATTTTTTGTTTTTTTGGATAAATAAAGATTTTTGAATTTTGCGACGAAAAGATGTCCGTCAGGAAGAGAGCAGGGTCATGACGCGGAGGATGGCTTTTTTGTTTCCTGTTCCTGAAAATTCATTTTCTTCCCCTTCATGCTTTCCTATAGTAGTAACTCTTTGTTAATTTCTACAGTAATAATCAGGGTAATTGTGCAAGAGAGGAGGAAGGGTAAAGGGCCAAGTAGCGAGCGAAGGGTATTTGTGCAAGAGAGGAGGAAGGATAGAGTGCCAAATAGCGACTGATGGTTTGTTTTTTGTTTTTTTTGGGAGGGAAAAGCGAGGAATTTCCATGGCGAAGGGAATTGAGAAACGGAAAACGCTCCATGAATTTATGAATTAACAATTTTGCTGCCGTTAGAATGTACCTGGACTTTGACGTGGCCAAGTGCATGTGAATTTCCAAAAATCATCACGGCTTACGACTTTGAAAAGCGATCCTGTGAGATTTCACATGACGTGTCTGATGTGATTGGAACGTATCTGCACGCAGGCGCAGTCCAGGTGCAGATCTTGAAATGTATTTGCACGCAAGCGCAGTCTCGGTGCAGATCGTGCAACTGGCCGGCCACGCTGTCTATGTTCACTTTTAACTGGGAACGCTGCAAATTAATTTTTAATGGCAGTAATTGATTCATCATGAGGGCAGAAGTCCCATGTTCGAGCGACTATGAATGAATGAATGAATGAATTATTGATTACTAATTATATTAATGATTGATTAAATTAATCAATGAATCGATTATATCAATTGATTATTTATTTATTAATTAGTGAATAACTACTCCCGCATGTGGTGCGTGAATCCTTCAACGTGCATTCATTCCCGCCGACCATCGACCCTGGTGCCTTGTGCATTCACGTGTGCATGGCTCTCTCGTCTTGCCAGAGCGTGATCTTCTCTGCAAGCGGCCGCTACCAGTAATTATGAATAAACCAATTCATGCACACGTTACGTCTGTGCGCCGCGTGTGAGCTCCTTTAAGTATTGGTTACTTGTGCATTGCTACTCTCACGTTGGGATCTCTCTGCGTTCTCACGAGGTCCCAGGTCTATCCGTTTATTATTACCGTATAATGATTCTATAATCGGTATTAATTAATAATTAATCTTATCCAGGGCACAATCGGCTCATACTTGTCTTCTTATCTTTGGACGTTCCTGGTCACAATTTCGACGATTTGTGAACCGAAATTGTCAGGGCTTATCCGGTTCCCGCCAGTATGAGCTGACGATTTCAGTTCAGAAAACGACGAAATTGTGACCAGGAACGTCCAAGTCAAATGCCCAAAGGGGTATGTCTCTCTTCACCTAACTGCCTCGTCTCTCTCTGATTACCTATCCAGTGTAACCTGTTTTATCTACCTAGGTCTCTTTACCTGCCTGCTTCTCTTGATTCCTTGTCCATGCGTGCGCTGGGAAGCCCCAGGCTTATATATCTTTCATCTCTGTATCTTTTTATTTATCAGCTGATTATCTCCAGCTCTGTGTATCGTTTCATCTATCTATTTATCTGCGCATCTATTTGCCTCTATCCGTTTACTCATATGTATATTTCCTCTATAGCTACTTGATTGTCTGTTTGTGTGCGTATCTATTTGTTTGTCTGTCTGTTTGTCTATCTATTTGTTTATCTGTTTGTGTGTGTCGATTTGTTTATCTGTTTGTGTGTGTCGATTTGTTTCTGTTCGTGTATCTTTCAACGTAGTCTCTCTCTTTCTACTAATTATCGATCTGTGTGTCATTCGATCCATCAATGAATCATGTTTGTATCTATTTGTTTGTCTGTTTCTGTGTCTATCGATTTGCTTTTCTCTTTCTGTTCACTCTCTCTCTCTCTCTCTCTCTCTCTCTCTCTCTCTCTCTCTCTCTCTCTCTCTCTCTCTCTCTCTCTCTCTTGTTTATCGATCTGTTTGTCATTATCATCTACCAACGAGTCGATAAATCAATCAACTACCCGCCCGTTGATAGGCGAGCATTTTATGGATCTCTATTAATATATTCTCTCTCTCTCTCTCTCTCTCTCTCTCTCTCTCTCTCTCTCTCTCTTGTTTATCGATCTGTTTGTCATTATCATCTCCCAAKGAGTCGATAAATCAATCAACTACCCGCCCGTTGATAGGCGAGCATTTTATGGATCTCTTTTAATATATATTCACGTGTCAATTAATCTATGAACGAATGATTCGTTATGCGTGTGCTCATCTAACTGTCTGTGCCTAGCGTTTTCGCTCGAAGAAAGCGCGCACCGTCATGACGACTTACCTGACCGGAAAGACGGCTTGTATACATTCGTAATCAGGGTGCGTTATGTTCGGGGGAAGACGGCAGGCGTATACATTGTTACACGCTTCCTCTTATCAGCGAAGGACCTGGGACCATGTCCTACTAGTGGTTGTTAGTTTCGTCAACGCCCGAATCTGGACGTCTTTGTGGAGGTGCAGTTGAGGAAACTCAACGCCACTGTCCGCACGTCTCCACAAACACGTCCACATTCGGGCGTTGAGGAGCATTTTAGCTGCCAGTGGGACTTCGCCCCTTGCACTGTGAAGGCGCCCCACCTATTCGTTTCCTTGCACCTTTTCGGGGAAAAAAAAGAAGTCGTTTCCTTTCAGGCGTTGCCAGCAGGTTGCAATGGATGTCGGTGGCCCTGTTAGAGCGCACCTGGTCGTCGCCGCTGTGCAGCTACGTAAGGACGTACCTATCCGAATTTTCTGTCTAGGTGCATTCTGTCTTCGGGACCGAGGCTATTCGGGTTCTCGACGACTCTTTCGTTCCATTCCAGTCAACTGCACCTTGGAATTTGGGTGGGTCATTGAAAAAAAAAAAAAAAAAAAGTATGAAAAACCCTAATAATCAGACGTTTATTCAATCAACGGGGGTAATTTTTGCTGACATGGCCCCAGCACCCTATCCAGCCCCTCTAGCATAGAACAAATTGCAATCACTACCGTCTTCCCCCGAACACAACGCACCCTCATTATGGCTGTACCGGACCGGAATGATCGCTTGCATACATTCATTATCAGGGTGCGTTATGTTCGGGGGTAAGACGGTAGCAGCTCCATGGGACGAGGGAGCCCCGCGATGAGACAATCATCTCCACAACCCCTCTGTGTTACAGGGGATGTATCAATAGGACGCTGGACCCAGGGCCACGTCCCATTAGCTTGGATTCTTCATTTCTGACCTTCGATCTTTTCGTAATCTAGTGTCACAAATGAAGAATAAGGGTAAGTGGGTATTGGCCCCCGGTTTCCAGCAGGTCCGGACATCCCTTTTTGAGTTGAATTGGAGCAATTCACAGAAGATTATAACATATCCCCTGCTCAAGGATGACATGCATAAATCGAGGAAGTGTCCAAATTAGAATTAAAAAATTTTAAAAAATAAAAAAGGAAAAAAAAAGAAGAGGATTGGGTCGTTGAAGACCTGCAGTCACTTTGATGTTCTGTCATTCTTGTGAGGGTTTGGAAGAACAGTCTGCTCCTGTCTTCACCCGAATAGAACGCCCGGTCATTGTGGCTGTATCTGGTCTGAAAGTTGCCCCGAATACAGCTACAATGACCCTGCATCTGGTCTGAAAGCCTCTGTTATAGTTTGCACTCTCCCCTGCCGTTGCTAGCCGGATAAAGTGCCTGCTCATTATAGGTGCACTTAGTGCAACTTCGGGTCTAGATACAGCAATAATGATGGAGCGCTCTATTCGGGTGAAGACACTAGCCGAGACACTGCAAATGATCATCCATTCCCACCTTGACCCCACTTGCGGTGGGCACCAACCACCGAGAGAGTACTCTTCGTATGACTTATCTGGATGTACCTATCTGCAATTAAGACTCGCCCTGGGTGTATCGGGCCATTATCACGTCCAGAAAAAAAGGCCGTAGCGTGAGTATACCCTTAGGTGGGGCTTGGAGGCTACCTGTATGTATTGTCCCCAAGCGCGACTTAAACAACTACTGGCAGTGTCATTGATTAGGGGACACTGTCGACTGTAGTAGAGGGTTCAGCCTCCTGCTGAGTCGGTGAAACTCCGACAGAACGATCTGGGACAGTGCATTCTTTCTTTCTAGGTGACTCTCTCTCTCTCTCTCTCTCTCTCTCTCTCTCTCTCTCTCTCTCTCTCTCTCTCTCTCTCTCTCTCTCTCTCT